TGGGTTGGCAGATAACCCAAATGGATCTCTGTGTCCCCAGTCGGCTGAGGGCTKGGTGCCTCTGCCTGTGCCAAGCACAATGCTCATTTTTTGGAGTGGCTCAGATCCAAATCCCTGCTTTCCAGGTACTCTGGCTGCCTTCCTCTTTCCCTGGCCAGCAGGATATGTCTTGGCCCCGCTGAGCTCCCACATTAGATGCTTTCTTATCAGTGTCCCATGACTTGAGGGTGAGCTGAGAGGACTATGTGTGCTGTCTTATAGGTCCAGGGGCATATCCCAAGCAGAGGGGGGATACTGGGATGCACAGCATGCACATGSCATGAATAGGGGTGATGGGGCACACATGGACATGGCATGGCACTGTACAGCTGCCCACTGTGCTACCCAGAGGGACCATCACCAGCTGCTCCAATGCTAGCCGTGGCGCTTGGGTATGTGCAGCCAAAGTGGAAAGACAGGTCCTGCCCTTTGCTGTATCCCAAATAATTTCACTCCCTGTTCTGTTTGGCAACCAACAGCCCCTGCCACACCAGCCCCAGTGCCTGGTAGGCAGTGGGGTGCAGAGAGGAACATGGAAGTCCAGGGCTGGGGCCAGTTCCCAGTCCCACTGTAATGCCAGGGCAGTAGGACCAGAGAAGTRAGGAGGCAGGCAACAAGTGCTGTTAGTGCATTGCTCCCGTATGGCCTTGCTCGGGGGCATGAGAGGACCTGGACACCCTGCCTGAGTGTTGTGTGGGCTGCCAGGATGAGTCACAGCAAAGCTGCTGTGGGAACAAGAAACTTGCTGTGCTTGGCACTGTGCTGTGCCCCCCCTGACCCCAGAGCACCCTTTGCACCACGCAGACACCTCGTGTCACCCCACGCAGCCGTGCTGTGCGGAGGAAAGTGGGAGAGAGTGTGCTGGGAATGGGAGGGAGTGTCTGGCAGTCCTGCACTGTGTCAGGGCCACCGAGCCAGCAGTGTGGGGGTGGCGGGAGCTGGTGGCACAGTGTGCGGCTTGGAAAGCATGCATAGGCCCTGTGTGGGCTCCTGTGGGTGGCCTAGGACATGTGCATTTCCTGGGAGAGGAGCACACCCTCTCCATGCTGGAGTGCCTGTGGAGTTGCGTCCTGTTGGGGCACATCATCCAGCAGCTGGCAGTGGTCTGGGTACGTGCTGGGGACGGGATGCCTTTTCCCCATTCGGGTCCCAAACCGCTCCCTCCAGACCGCCCTGTGGATTCAAGCAGCATGTGACTGGTCCCAGCAGGTGGTGGTGGGCATCGCTGTCCTACTCCTGCCACCACCTCTCSTGCCAGGCTTAATTTCCATCACTCCATCAATCTTCCCAGACAGGTTACAGTGCCTGGCATGGTCAGACCCTCCGGCTATTTTGGGGGTGCAGTGGCTGTGTATAGAGGAGGGGGTGCCCAGAGCTCCTGCCAGTGGACAAGGAGAGGAGGGGGCTCTGACCGCCCATGCAACTCATGGGGAAGGGGTGCCCTGACTCAATCCCTCTTCTCCAGTGCCCAAGATCTCCCATCTCCAGGGKGCTGTAGAGAATGGAGCCACCCCTGCAGGAGCCTGGGGCTGCCCGGGCTCAATCCCAGCTCCCTGGCAGGGGGTGTGGCCCTCCATTCACAGCCAGGGGCATATAACCAGGGAGAAGCGTGCTATGAGGCAGAGGTTGGAGTCAGAACTAGGTTTGCGGTAGGAGGGAAGGGGGGTCACCAAACAGCCTACAAAATGATTTCGGGGTATTGAAATGAGTCCCTAGGCCCCCTCTCCCTGCATCCTTCCTCCCTGGATCCCTGCTCCCTCCCTACAAGCGCTCTGCGTGTTCCCAAGTGGCACTGCCGGCGACCGGCGTGAAGCAGGGGCGACACCCCGTGGCCACCTCTCTGCTGCGGGAGACACGCACACATTTCTWATGGCCCCTTGCAATCCTTCCCAGCCCACTCACCCCCCCAGTCCTTCCTCAAGTCTCCGCAGAGGGCCCTGGTGTCCCTAGGAACCCTGATTCGGGGTGGGGTGGGGATCACTTCTGGGTAATCCAATCTCCTCATCCCAGTTCTGTGCTCCCAAATCCTCTCAGCTTTCCCACCTCCTTTCCCTGCTTGCATTTGGGGTGATGATGCTAAATGGGGACATTTATCCCTGCTCTGCATGGTCACTYCTGCTCTGGCCTGGTAGGGGAAGGATGGTTGGGGCCACCAGGGTGCCACTGCCTCCAGGGGCTGTGGCTGCTGCTTTCCCTGTCACTGTCACAGGCTGCTCAGAGATCTGCCTTTTCTTGCCAGTGGTCTCTTGACTGATCCTGTGGCAATGATGGGATGGGGCTCTGACATCTTGCTCCARTGATAATCAAGTGCCAGGGGCTCATGGGGACACTGCCCAGTGGGACCCTCTGGTCACCTTCCTCCCCTCTGTGTCAGCACAATTCTCCTGAAAGTTGTGGGGCTTTGGTGTCAGCTCATTGTGGTCACTTCCYCTCTGGATACACCAGACCTGAGGGCCCCTGGCTGAGTGCAGGGGAGCCCTGGGGACATGCAGASGTGTCCAGGCTTGGAGGAGGGTGCTATCCTGCACACCTGAGGTGCACAGMCAAGTACCCATCGTCCTCAATAACTGAGTTTTTTTTGAAGGGATGACAGCCCTGTGCAATGAMCCTGCAGCCAGGCAGAGGGGGTGACCTCAATAGAGAGTGAGGCACTACTTCCCCCCCATGTCCTGGGGCCCCCATGGGGCAGCACTCCATCACCTGTGCGTGGCTCCTGAGCCAGTGGATTTGCCAGTCCCTTCCCAGGTAGAGGGACCACCTGGGTGAAAGGTGGCCAATACTTTGACCACTGCCTGCTGTGAAATACAGGAGGCAGAGCTGCTCCCCAGGACCCCAAGACTCTGCCCCTGGCTGCAGGCTGGGTGATGCTGGACCAGAGCCCTGGGGCTAGGAACCCCCAGGTGGGGAGCACAGCACAGTGCATGGTACTTGGTGGTGGGTGACAGGTGTGGGACAGCAGGTATGTGAGCTGCACAGACACTGTCAATTCAACAGGGCTTGAGAGGGTTGGGCTGGGCAGCTGGTTCTTGCCCCAGCCTTAAATCCCATGTGAGCATCCTGATCCTTTGGTTTGAGGTCTTTGGGATCACCATGGGGACGTTTGCACTGCTGTTAAGGGAAAAGTTTGCAACTGTACTCAGTTTGCACCAGCATTCAGAGAGATTTGGGGAGAGGTTTGCACCATCATGCAGTGAGAAGATTGCGCAAGTATCCAGAGAGAGCTTTGCACCAGGTTTCAGGTGTTTAGGTTTGTACCATGTTCAGGGGAAGGTATCCCCCAGCATCTGGATACAGGTTAGTCCCAGCATTAGGGAGGGTGGTCTGCAGACAACAGAGACTTTCTTGGGACAGTGTCCCTGAGATCAGCAGTTTTGAAGGACCAGATGACATCTAAGAGAAGCCACAGCAACACCTTGCCCATTTACCCTTCATACCTCTCTCTTTTCTGCCCAGACCTTGATGCTGTGGAGACATGGCTGGGGCACACTGCTCCATGGTGGTCACTCAGCAGGGATCTATGACAGCTGSGAAGCTGGTGCTGCAGTGGTGGCAGCCCTGCAGGACACAGGYCACCATGGGTTCCTCTGGCCCTTGATAGCCAGTTCCCCAGGGACTGTGTGCCCTGGCAGGGGTACCAGACTGCTGCAGAGGGTAGCAGGATAGGCTGGGGCTGGGAGACCTGCTTGTGCCTTGTTCTCCAGGTGAAAAGCTGGGTGCAATGTGGGGTTGGATTACACTTGTGAGTTTCTGCCCTCAGTCTGGATCCTGTAGGGTTTGGGGGTGTGGYTTTGGGATACTGGCAGCGGATGCTCCACTCCGAGGGCCCTCAATCCTATGCTCTGTGCCAGCTTGCTCTTCATTTCCAGCAGACGGAGCAATAACACAGTGATTTAACATCATCTCGCCATGAGAGGGCTTCCCTGGGTTTCCCTCCACTGACAGAGCCTGCATCATCACCAATCCATGACATCCCACTATCGAGCACAAAATCATCGTCAGCTCCCCCTTCCTGCAGAYGTCCACCCTCTTCCCCAAGGTGATGAGTGCCTCTCCCAGGTGACACAGCTAATTTTACGGCTAATCTGGTTCTCAGAGCCTGAAATGCTTGCTGGATTTTCTCTGTGGGTGAGCTGGAGACCACTGTTGTGGTTTGTACGCAATGGTAACCCGCTGCGACTGTGGGAGTGGGCTCAAATGTCCAAGTCAAGCTTTTTCTGGATGCAAGGGTGTCCCACTGTGGCCGTGGGAGTGAGCTCAGATGTCCAAGTCAAGCTTCTGGCAGCAAGCTCTGCATCCCCCCTCCTAATTCCCTCCCAGATCCTCTCCTCAAAATCCCATGCCCCTCCCAGCTGCAGCATAGGCACTGTGCAAAGGAAGACCCTCCAGCCTGGTGAGCCCCCTTTACTGGCAGCCTGGTTCCCACAGACCGTGTGCTGCCAGCCACAACTGCAGCTTTCCCTGGGAGCTCTGTGGATGTGACTAGCTGGAGCATTCCAGCCATGGGGGCACTCTCTTGGGGAACTCTGGTGTCTCTGTGGGGTTATTTTGGATTTTCCAACTGCTGCAGACAGCCTGTTCCCAGCACCCAGCTGTCTCAAGTGCTCAGTGCTCCGTTCTCAGCATCCAGTGCCTCTGAAGGCAGGGACCACATTCATCCCAGGGGAGGGGTGTCCCTTCCACTGCAGTGTTTGGGGTGGTTCCAGGACCAGCCAGGCACTCTCCTTAATGTCTGCCTTCCTGGGGAGACATGGGCCACCCTGAGTTTGCCAGGTYCTGGGCACATCTGCTGTCTTCCCCCCATCACTGTTTTAGGATGCTCTGGGGACAAGAGGCCAAGTCTGTCTGATCGGACAGTGACCTGAGTCTGGGGTATTTTAAACAATAGACAGCTGTGGGTCCYAAGAAATGCCCTCAGAGAAGCCAAAATCCCTAAAAGCACACCAGACAGAGGCTAGCTGGACACAGCTGTTTAATGGATGTATCTCAGTACAGATAGGGAGCTGCAACCCACGCACCCACGGCCGCCTCCTCGCCATGGCTCTGGCCACATCTCGGACCTGGCATCCGAAATATCCCCATTGGCGCGCTGGCCACATCTCGGACCTGGCATCCAAAATATCCCCATTGGCCTGGCATGCCAGGGTGGTAGAGGAAGATGTCGTGGCACTGGTGCGCCTCCTGGTCTTGCAGTGGGAGAGACCCTGGAGAGGGGAGCTGTGCCCTGGCTGGGGGAAGGGGACTGGCTGGGCTGATGCCCCCAGGGCATCGGGGATGGAGGTGAGGGAGTGACCAGGTTGTTGCAGGTGCATCACTGGTCTGTGTACACCCCGGGGCCTTCGGCTGAGGCAGGGCACACCAGGCAGGGAGAAGCTGAGGGCACTGCAGGGAAAGGATTAGGGGGGCAGGGAGCAGCTGCWGGGGCTGCGGTGGGACCTGGGCATCCCAACCCCTGGTGTGTTTGGGGCAAGGTTTCTGGGCTCCCTGCTCCTTCACTTGTGGGCTGAGTGCATCTAACTACCTTAGGGCTGCCAAGCACCAACCCGGTCCAGTGAATGCCTCATTCCTGTAGCTGACACCTGTGGGGGCTCTGGGCTCTGTCTCCTCCTCCTCACCACCCGCTCTAATGCTCCCAACGAGGTGAGGTCACCCACTTGATGTGGTGGGCAGAGAGCAGAACTGAATGGAGTTGGTGTGGAACTGGAATGGTGAGCAGGCGAAGAACATCCCTTGCAACTGGGGGTACAGGAGGGGCTGAGGGATGCAGAGGAGTGCTGCCAGCAAGGTCAGATGCATAGGAGGCTTTCCCTACATCTGACGTTGCCTTCCCGCCCCTCTGATGCTTTCTGTTCCCAGAGCTCTCTCTCACACCATCACTCCTGGCGTTAAATAGTTGGTCGCCAGCAGGGAGGGGCTGAGCCATGCCAGGGAACAGTCTCCCAGACACAACCATGGGCCGTGCAAGGATGGACCGACTGGGCTCCAGCCCCTGGTGGAGCAGGGCAGGGATGTGAATGACCCCAGGAGGGGTCAGTCACATTCCCCAAGGATCCACCATGCCAGTGAGCTGAGGCACTGCTTGCCGCAGACCTGCTGCCCGTGGCACACAGAGGCTCAGCCATGAGCCCCATGGTGCTGTGGGAGGCTGGGGGCACACGGATGCTCTGGGTTCTGCTGTCACCCCACAACTACCCAGGGCAGRCCCTGCTCTGTCTGYGGGTCCTGGGATCAGGTCCTGGCAKCTGTGGGGGTGCTCTGGGATTGGGGATCATGGGGGCAGCACATCCCCTGCCTCTTGTGCCCCATGGTGACCCCAGGCATGGGACTCTTCCCCACTGTGGTCCCTCCAAAGTGGGGGGGAGGGCAGTGGGGACACGCCCTGCCCCGCCCAGCTTCCCCCCACCAATCAGAGACCTGAGAACCGCTCCCGCTCCCTCAGCCAATCAAAGCCCAGCACCCAGCCTCTTCACAGCCAATCCAAGGGGGGGGGGTGGGGCAAAAGGCAGCATGGCCACTTCCCCGCCAGCCAATCGGTGCCCGGCTGTGCCCACGGGGAGGGAGGGCGGGGCAGGTCAGCATGGCGGGCGTGGCACTGCGCCCTCGAGGCGCGGCCGGGTCTAGGCGGGGGGCTGCAGGTGCAGGGCTGCGCTGTTGGGGCGTGCGGCCAGGATGTAGACGACATTCTCCCGCAGGAATCCAGGCCAGTCAATGTTCCTGTGGGCAGATGTGGGCTTGTCAGACACCCAGGAAATGCTACACCCTCTGGGTCACCCCGCAAAATGGGGGTGTCTACAATCCCCCAACCATCCCTGCCTCACCTGGTCTCGTCCTGCTTTGTGGCTGGCAGGATCTTCTCCGGGCTCTTGCCATTCCTGCTGCTGGCGGGGCTGCCCTCTGATATGGGGCCCACATGGCTGATGCTGTGGCAGGGAGGAGGATGCTCTTCATCCCCACTCCTTGCACTGCAAATGGTGGTGGTGGGGGAAGAGGGTGCACAGGGATGAGAGGCCATGGAAGGGGAGCTGGCGGGAAGGGGGAGCAGCCATTTGTGTGCTGAGCCGCTTTGGTAGTTGTTGGGGCTGTGGTGGGAGTCTTGGACGGGTATCACCCCTACACCAGGGTGGGCATCCCCTTACCTGACGTTGCAGGACAGCATCTCCTTTTGGTGCTTGCGGAACCAGGTGTGCCGGGCCTGGCGGCACTCGCCCTCCCCGATTAAGCCATCGTTGTCCTGGTCCAGGGCCAGGAAGGCTGCCCGTGCCCGCTCCCGCTCCTTGGGTGTCAGCAGCCGCAGAAGGGCATTCTACAGGGTCAGAGAAGTGAAGGTGGAGCATTCATCCTGTGGGAATCTCCCTGCTCGTACGCCCAAAGCTGTGGGGGTCTCCACCCTAAGTGCCATGGCCAGGAGGGCTGGCTGTGGGAGTCAGCTCCAGACGCCACAGCCTTGAGCATCAGCTGTAGGAGAGAGCTTTGGCTGCCATGACCATGGGTGCTGGTCATGCGCACTGACCTTGGGTGCTGTGGGTGTGGGTGCTGGCCCCAGGTGYCCCTACCACAGGTGCTGGCCACGGTAGCCAGCTGTGGGTGGCAGCTATGGGAGCTAGCCCTGGATGCCACAACCATACCTGCGGCCGTATTTTCTGCAGCAGCTGGATGGACTCGTGGGAGAGGAAGTCCTGCCACTCGATGTGCCCCTTCTTGTCGGGGTCCAGGGCGTTGAACTGCAGGGCTGCCTGCTCTTCCTGCGCCTCGGGCATAGTCCGCTCAAACTGCTGCTTGTGCACTTGGTGTTTGTAGTGCAGGAAGTCATCCAGGGTCAGGCAGCTCTCTGTAGGGGACAGATTGGCTGTGCTGCGCCCAGGAAGGAGGGGGGCCCACCTCCCCAGCTGCTTCCCACAGCCATCTGGGACCCAGCGTACAGAGGGTACGCACCTGGAATGATCTTGCAGCTCTTCAGGGTCTCCATCAGGCTGTACATCTCTTCCTCTGTCAGCAACAGATTGAGGTTGTCCTGGGGTGGGGGGCAGAGAGGAGCCATGGGGCAAAGACATGGGGTGGAGGAAGCACATGTCTATATGGCAGCACTGGATTCCCATGAAAGCGTGTSGGTATGGGCACCCAGAGAGGGTAGTTGTGCTGAGTCACCCTGGGGTGCTGCCGTGGGATGCCTCCAAGTCCCTGGGCTTTGGCCATTCCAGCTCTGCCATAACATCTTGTGTGCCCATGGTGTCACATACCCCACCAAGGTCTGGGGGAGCTGACTGCAGGGGTGGGGAGGCGACAAAGGGCCACTGTCCTGGGTATCTGGTGAGCCCATCAGGCCAAGGTGGGCAGTGGGAACTGGAGAGCAGCAGGTCTGCCATTGCTCCAGACCAGGCTGTGAGGTGGGACCCTGCTCATATCCGTGTGGGGCAAAGTTCCCTGGGGAGCACCCACCACCCAGCAGAAGCCTGGTGACCCCTACTCCAGGCACTCACGCAGTAGTAGCAGCTCCAACCCGTCTCGGTGTGCGCCGTCTCTGTCACCTCCACGGCGCTGTCCTTCTGCAGGTATCCCATGCGGCGCAGGCAGCCATCATGGTACACCCGGTGGCAGATGCGGCACGGAAAGAGGCTCTCGGCYGTCCACACCTCGCAGATCTCACACATTTCATCATTCACGATCTGGGGATGGATGGGCACGTGCTCAGCAGAGCAGTGTGGGCAGGGGCTTGGCTTCTCGTGCTCGGTGATGCTTTGCAGGTGGGGTGGTTGTTGAGGAGCAGAGAGGACAGGAAGATGGGAATGCATGGGGCTGGTTAAGGGAAATGACATGGCTGGTTGAGTTAGAGGAAGGAGAGTGTGTTTGTGGGGTAAATGGTGAGTGGATGGGTTTGGCTATAGGGCTGGTGGGTTCTCTGGGGTGCAGCATGGTAGGTGTTGGTGGTTGGACTGTAAGGTTGTAGACTGGCTGGTCTTTTGGGTTGTAAGTATGGATGAATAAGCAGTAAGGTTTTCCACACATTTTCATTTCCACTTCCAGTGAGATACTAACTGGTGTATTATATGGCTGTCCTGGGTGATCTAGCCTCAGAGCATAGTTGGACAGTGAAACAGGCTACCCAGGGCAGTGGTCACAGCACCAAACCTGGACAACACTCTCAGRCACATGGAGTGATTCTTGGGCTGCCCTGTGCACAGCCAGGAGCTGGATGTTGGTGACCCATGTGGGTCCCTTCTAACTCAGAGTATTTTATATCTGTACGGGTCTATACAAGGCTGTAGGTGGGCTGGGGTGTGGGTTTGCTGGGTGAGTGGATGGGTAAGGTTGTGAGTATGGGTAGGTGGGCTGCAGGATTGGGGCTATGGATGGATAAACTGTTGGGCAGGGCCATCAGGGCTGCAGAGGGGAGGCCTGAGCTGCAGGGTGATTGACTGTAGGCTGACAAACCGGGAGGTCAAATCGTGCTCTCCTCCCCAGACCTAGGGCTGTCTGTGCCCATCAGTGACTTCTTTCCACGACACTCCAGGTCCTTTCAGGGCACATCTGAACATTTGCGTCCCCCTCCGTGTGGCACCTCCACCTGCCCAGCCTGGCCAATGGCACTCTGCCCCACTGAGCCACCTCCACAGGGCTTTGCCATGCCCTTCGAGACTGTCACTGCCTGGCAAGCACTCAGGTGCTTGTGCAGCCCTGGGCTCTCCTCCGTGACCCTCCAGCCCTGTCCCCATCCCTCCCACGCTGTTTCTGTGGTTTCATCAGCTCACCTGCTCCCTCTGCTCCAGGCTGATGTCCGGGGGCTCATCATCGTGCAGCTCTCTCTTGGGCCGGATGAAGGCAGGCGGCGTGAACCTGTTGGCCCGGTCAAACTCCTCCGGCTCCACGCCCCGGCCATCCCGCAGCCGCTCCCAGGCTGCCTTGCTGGCACTGCTCTCCTCCGCCTGGGAAGGTCCTGCCGACGGYTCCTCCTCTCCCTCCTGCACCTCTTGCTCCAGCGTCCCCTGGCGTGTGGTCCCCGCCTCCGCCCGACGCCGTGTCGATGGCTGCTCCCGCAGCCCGTCCTTGAAGGCTGACACGGCCAAGCTGACCTTCTGCACCCTCTCCACCGTCTGCCTCCTGGACATCAGCACCCCCATGGCTCTGCGGTGGGAAGGAATGTGCCATGTCCCAGACACCAAAAGGGTGTCACAGTGGTTTTCCCCCCAGCTGTGTGAAGAGCAGCTCAGGGTAGGGACAAATGGGGTCTATGTGACAAGCTGATGCTGGGGTTGTGGGGAGATGGATCCCTGGCCWTGAAGGGTCTGAGTGTTGGTGAGGGAGTGGGACAGAAGGCAGGGATTTGGTTTGGGGGTGCCTCCCCCACCCTTGCTCTCTAGACTCCAGCTTAACAAGAAGCACATYCAGGCCTTTCCCATGTCAGATCAGTAAATCCCAGAGGGACTGGGACCAGCTGTAACCCTCCTCCTTGYGTGCATCTCCTTTCTGCCTTGAACGCAGCCTCTGTGGCCAGTCAAGGGTGAAAGATATTGTCCTGGCAGCTCTGCCCAGGACTAGGTCATAGCAGGTCTGGCGCTGACCCCTCACCTTCCTTAAATYCCTCTTCACTCACCTGCCTTTCTTGCGCTCACATGCATTTTTGTGTGGCACTGAGGTGATCATTGGGCATCCTGCATCCTGCAAGGACCCATGTGAGGAGGCTGTCCCAGCCGTAGGAGGGCTGTGAGGRTGCAAGAGGGAGGAGGAGCAGTGTATGGGACTGGGGCACATGGGTCCCAAGAAGGATGTGTGGCTTCAGTACCAAGGGAAGACCATCTTAGGGCAGAATGGGGAGACCAACATTAGCAGCAATAACAAGTTGGACTCTGTCTCACTGGGTGTGAGTTGAAGCTGGGGAGAAGCAGGATTTGGTCTCCAGCGTTGTGGGGCACAGCATTACCCCACATGGGTCCAAGTGCTTCCCTCGTGCCATGCTGGGGGTGCATTATGGAAGGTGCTGCCCAGGGCAGTGGTGGAATCACYRTTCCTGGAAGTGTTTAAAAAACATGTAGACATGGCACTTAGGGACATAGTTTAGTGGTGGCCTTAGTAAGGGGTTAATGGTTGGACTTGATGATCTTAGAGGTCTTTTCAAGCCTTAATTATTCTCTAATTCTATGCTGCGGCAAAGAGGCACCTCCAGCTGGTGCCCAGGGACCAGGAGGCAAAGCGGGGAGATCTGAGCAGCAATCTCCCGCCCCGTCAGCCTCAGCTGGGGAGTCCCCACGTAGCGGGGTAATTAGCAGCACGCGTGCACACGCTGGGATGTCAGTGTCTGCGGGAGGACTCGACACCGCGGGCACTGCTGTGGCAGGGAGCCTGGTCAGGGTAATTACAGGTACCCCGCAGCAGCAGGGCCGAGCGGAGCGGAGCAGAGCGTGCTGGCAGGCGGCAAACACCACTGCGTGCACACGCATGTGATTTCCCAGCCTCTCCCCACCACCGCGGGACCATCTGCCTGCAGATTCCCACGCGCTGAGCCGGGTTTGCAACACGTGTGGGCCCCGTCCTGTGTGTGGGGGTCCCAGCAGCGTGCGCCGTGTGGGTTGGGGGATTTGCACCTGGTGGCCGTGGTGCCCGGCTTGGAGCTGGTGCTCGGCATTCTTCAGCTCCCGGGGCTTTGCAAAGGTGGGAGCGGGGCAGAGCTGGAGGCACGTGTCCAAGCCACAGCAACAGCATCTCTGCGGCTGTGCCAGAGGGAAGGAAAACACCTGGGTGTTTCTACCTCCTCGCCGTGCCACCACCCTCTGCCTGGCTGGCTCAGGATCACGTCTGCCGTGGTCAGGATCAGCTCTGCTGCTGGGCAGCATTGCAGCTCTGCCTGCGAGCGAGAGAGTCGGAGATGTCACAGGGAAATCCCCCCAAAATCTGCCTTTGCAGGTTCCTGCACTACCGAGCGCTGGCCAGATCCAGGCTTRCTCCTGCCCAAGGCTTGGGCAGGAACAGGGAGGAGAGGGTCCTAGGGGGACAGGGAGGGGCTAGGCTCATGGAGAAGAGTGAAAAGAGGGGTGTGGCCCACAGCACTCCTGTCTCCCTGGTACCCACACGGGTATTCCTGATCCCAGCCTGCTGTCTGCTTCTCCCCACAGTGCTGCTGAGCTCGGGGTGCCCCAGCCCCAGGCACCCTGCAGTGCAGTGGGGCTGCCTGGGCWCTGGAAGGGTGGCTGGTGTGTGGACCTGCTCTATTCCCCCCCAGCTCAGGTTCCCTGGGTGTTCATGTCGTAGTCACCCACCTGCACTGTGCTGCTGCTGGAAGATCCCAGCCCAYCTCCCTATTTTGTGTCCTCTCCAAAGTCTACTCCTGAGTGCCTTCTGCCACTGGCTACTGTGTGCCTGGAGCCTGGACAGTGTCACTCCTTTCATGACTTCTGTCTGCTCTCAGCTCTGCTGGTCTCCCTGCCCCTGCCAGTGCTGCACAGCTGGATCCTGTCTGCACATCCAGAGCTGAATGGCTTCACCCTGAGCTCAGTCTCCACACTCCACTGCCTTTCCGTAGGCCCCGTTGCTCCTCAGATACCCCAAACTTGCTCTGCACTCTCCAGACCCCTTTTTGTCTGTGCCTCATGCCCTGCTTGTCCTGCCTGGCTTTGTGGGGTGGGACTTCACCCTCACACAGAACCTGGCCTCACTCGGGGTCCTGCCAGACTTGGAGAGTCYCCCTTCTCCTGGGGAGGGAGGACAGGGGCAATCTTTCCTCATAGCAGCCSAGACACCTGAGCAGCCCCTGCGTCCCCACATGTCCTTGGGGGAAGGTTTCTCCAGCGCTATTTGTGTCCACCCCCCAAGGCAAACAGAACCACCACCTGTCTCACCGTGACCAAAGAGGTGCGGGGGCCTCGACCTTGCTGCCAGGCTGCAGTGTGGGGCTATTTTTAGGTCGCCCCCACAGAGGAGCTAAATCTGGGCACAGGAAGGAGCTGCCTGTAAACACCCGGCTGCACTGAACCCTGTCAGCACTGGGGGCTGTCACAGTGGGTGGTGGGCACCTTCCCAACCCCTTCACTTCCCTTCCCTTCCCTTGCCCCCAGCCCCCTGCACCCCTGCCCTGATCCTTGGGCAACACCCGTTCCCCTCACTCTTCTCCTTCGGATTTGCTCCTTGCCGCTTCATTCCTGCAGCAAAACGCTGAGCCAGAAAGCACTTCATCCTCTTAGCACCCATGGACGCATCTTTCCCAGCCTCACGCTCCTCTCTGCGTGGGGGAAACTGAGCACTGAAGCAAGGCTGGTGCAGCTGGAGTGGGGATTAAGCCTGTGTTAGGTGGGAAAGGGGAGAGAGCTGGTGGCTAGTACGGAGGCACCCCGGGAGAAGGAAACAGGGCAGAGCATCTGGATGCAAGCACARCCAGTGGTTCCTGCGTGGCTGCAAAATCTCTCTCGCAATGCAGAGCACACGTGGCTTGTGCTGGGGTTACGGGGTGCCAGGTTAGTGGTGGGTGCGGGGCGGCGGGTGACACRCAGGTGGGCGTAGCGCGGCGCAGCGGGGGCGGTGTGGTGGCTGCGAGCGCAGGACGGATGCGTCGGGGAACAGCACAGGGGAGGTGTCTTCGTTAGGAATGGATGCATTATGGGGTGTGTGAGGGGCAAGGGGTGGATGTGTTTTGGGGYGGGTGTGCTACGGCGTGGCTGGCAGCACAGGGCAGGTGTTATGGCACACGAAGGGTGTCGCAGAGGCTGTGGGCATGGGGTGGGTGGTGGCTTTGGGTGCAGGGATGTTGCAGCAGCTGTGGGAATGGGGTGATGTCAGTGGCAGCTGGGGTTGCGGGATGGGTGCTTTTCGGGGGCTGGGGGTGCAGGGTGAGCTGTTGTGGTGTGCAGTGGCAGCCCAGGGATATAGGGGTGTGAGTGCACAGGGTCTGTAGGACTGACAGTTACCTGCCCCACGGTGTGTCCTCGCTGCAAGGCCCTGTCAGCAAATGAAGGGTCAGCAGGTGCTTGGGCTGATGCACCCTTGAGTAGGGTCCACGGCACTCACCTTCATCAGGGGATGCATCAGGGGCRGGCTGGGAGCAGAACCCCCTTGTGTGCCAGGAGCAAGCTCTCTGATTGTGGGCAATGATGCACCTGGTTGCCACGGGCTGCCAGAGGGTCAGGCCTCCTCCCTGCCCTCTCCAAGCTTCTGGGTCTTTTGCCCCACAGTGCTGTGCTCCTTCTGGGAGCATTAGGGACCTTGGGGGCAGAGGGGTGGGGTACCAACAGAGAGGACAGCCCTGGAACCTTGGAGCCCATGGCATGGACATGTCTGAAGGGCATGGAGCAGGGCTGARASGAGCAGGGCTGAGAGGAGCAGGGCTGCCACGGCTCTGGCATGGCTCTGGCACAGCCCTGCACGCTCTGATAGTAGCTCACTTCCTGGGGTGAGGGGGGCCAGGCTGCAAAGGCAGCAGGCTCTGCTTAGGGGTCATTGCATTCCACCTCTTTGAGCTGGCTGCAGATGGCCACAGGGGTCTGGCAGCATCCCCTTGTCCCCTCTCCCAGGCAGACAGCACATGCTGGAACTGTGGCACTGCTGGGACTGCTGCTGCTGCGAGATGATCTATTTGCCATGGGGCAGGGAGGTCCGTGGCTGATGGTACCCTCCCACCCTCTGCAGGGCTGTGGGRGTCCAGTGGGGATATCTGTGGGGGGTAGCAGGAGCCCCAGCTGTGCTGTGTCCCAGTCCTGGGGACAYCAAGCCGGTGGCTGCTGTCCCTGCCGGATCGGGTTGCCCGTCCTGCCGCGCTATGGCAGATTTTATAGGTGTGTCGCACGCTTTCATCTCCCAGAGGGGGATGAAAATGCCGTGACAGCAGAGTCCCTTCCTCTGCAGCAGACACAGCTCCTGCCCAGCTCCACACTTCTCCTTCTCCTCTCCCTCCCCAGCCCCTCTCCCCAGTACCCACATGAGGACCCCAATGCCTGGGCAGGACCCTCTCACCCCATCACCATCCCCACTCCCAGGMATCCCATCCCAGCAGCTCTGGCCACCCTCCCTGGCACCAGGACCCCGGGGTCAGTGGGGAAACCCACCCAAGGGTGACACGATATGTGGACAGCCCGTGCCACGCACCCAGCAAAGCACCGACAATGGCAAAAAAAAACCCCACTTACCAGGATCAGGGTCGCTCTGGGAACACGAGCCCTAGACAGCAGTCCACACGGTGTCCATCGCCGCTGCCTCTGGCCACCAGCCCCTCTCCAGCCGCGGGCGCTCACCGCATGCCGTGCCCCGCGTGCAAATCCCTGTCAGGGGATGGAGCGGCGAGGGTGGTACCCGGGAAGCCAGAGCCGTGCACTTGCTGCCGGAGGATGCAGGAGGCAGCGAGATGCTGGGAGCGGATGCCTGTGTCTAGCGCGCACACGCACACACACACACACGCACACACACTCACTCTCGGAGGAAGCAGGGAGCTTGTGACTGGGGCTGAGCAGATGCAGCCTGGTTTGCTGTCCCTGTACCAATTGCTGCCCGAGCCGTGTTAAAAAGCTCTCAGAGAAACGAAGATTTTTTTTAACTGGGCTGACGTGTGCTGGAATATACCAATAAAAGCTTTCCCTGCATCTCCTTTGGCCCCCTGGGTTGAACCGCCTTTCTTAGAAAAAACCTCAAGGATTAGAGATGGGACTGCATCCAAGGATGAGCAAAGGTTTCATCTACCCCCCCGCTCCGTGCGGGGTCTTCCCCACACCGGTGCCCCAGTCACAGGCTACCTGCCCCYCCTTTAACCCAATACCTGCTGGTCAGTGTTGCAGGCAGGCTGTCCTACCCACGCTGTGGTGCAGCAGGGGCACGGTGGCTGCTGGCTAAGTGCAGCCCTGTTTTCCCAGTGCAATGCAAAACCTGGGCTTTTTGTTCTCCTTGTCCCCAGAACTTGACAGAACACCCGGGTGCACACCACAGGGCTGCAGCAGGCCTGGGGGCTCACGAGGGTTCTGAAGGGGGGGCAGGAGGGAAGATGCTGATGGGGAGAGGAGGGCACAGCTCTAATGCAGCACCTCTGAAGGCAGAATATCTGCCTCTTGTGCATCCTCAGCTGCCCCACATCAGCTTGGTGGAGATGGTTGCTCAGCCCCCCTACACCTTCCTGGAAGGGGCTACCACTGGTAATGGGCTGTGCTTTTCCCTTCAGGAATAGACAGCTTTACAAAGAGGATGATTTGGGATGAAACACTCTGAGCCCTGGAGCAGCTTCATCCAGGCTCGGGATTAGTGCTGAAGGTGAGAGCAGAGGGGCTTGGGCAGTGGGGATGTTGCAGGGATACCCTGCTGCTTGGGTAGGCTACATACAGCAGGTCCTGTCCTGACTAGGGGAGAGGGAAGCTCTGCTCAGCCCCACTGTTGTTCCTGTTCCTAGGATACTGCCAGAGGGGAACCCCATATCCCAGCCCTGCYAGTCCCTGTGTCATCCATTGGGCAGGTCCTACCTGGCTCCAGATCTGCCAGCCCCACAGAGCAGTGGACTGGAGAGAGCAGCAGTGGAGAGGTGGGGATGTCACCTTTCCCATGCAGAGAGCATGGCGTGGGAGACCTGGGATTAAGAACCATTTGATGACTGAAGCTTCCTGGCTTCTGGAAGATGGGCAGCACCATCCCTGAGGTCTTCTATACCTCTGAAAAAAACCTGGGGTGGGTGCAGCATCCAGCACCCCTGGAGTTCTCTGCCTCCCCCGGAGCGGGTGACTGGCAGAGGGCAGCTCCGAGGGGATCAGGTTCCACATGCTGGTGCCACATACTGGTGCCAGGATGGTTCCTGACTCGTGACTCTTGTTCCACACCCTGTTGCAACCCTCCCTAGACTTATGGGCACTGACACTGATCCCACCATACCCATACCTTCATTACAGACCCTTCCCATGTCTCAGCTGGGAGTAAGCTGAGATCATCTGCAGCTCATGTCACCTGCAAGCAGATGCAGAGGTTGGGAAAGGCAGCATCGGGGTGCTGTGCTGGGATCTGAGGTGATCTGTGGCTCTCTTCCCCATGGCTGGGCAGGCACAAGCCAGGCTGGGGACAGGATTTATCTGCTTTCTGCTTGTGGCTGTCAGGTCCTTTCTTGCTTCACTCCATCAGCTGGAAGAGCCTTAACAGAGCTCCTGGGTGCCCTGCCCTGGCCCAAGGTGCCTCTCTGTACTTTATCCTTCCCCAGGAAAAAGCTTGCCTTTAGGGTGAATCACATTTTACATTATTTGGCCCGGGGAGGAGCATGGTGGAAAGGTATTGGGATGGCTGTGGGGTGGAGAAAGTGGAGACCAGTGGGAAACATCTTCACAGAGGAGCCTTGGCCCCAGAGGACTGGAGAGGAGTGTGTGGGCAGGCTGTGAAAGCTTTTAGTGCCTCTGTGGGGAGATCCCTGCCCTGGCAGTCCCRCGGCAGTGATTCCTGGAAAAGCAAAGGCGAGGAGGAGCTCCAGCCCTGCTCCTGCTCCAGTTGCCAAGAGCCCTGGGGATCCTGCTGCAGCCAAGGTGTGGTGTCCCCCCAAAAAGGAGAGCTGCAGCCCAGATCCACTTCTGCAAGGACATCCAGCAGCCCCCACCCTGTGCCAGATTAAGGATCGTCTCGCACCCTTCGGGGAGGAGGAGGACACAGTCCCCTGTCCTCTCTGAAAAGCCACATCGTGGTTGGCTGCTCACCGGAGCGGCGCAACCGGCAACAGGCTGGGGAAGCTCCTGACAGGGAGCCGGCAGCGCCGGTCTGCTGGAGGAGGGCTGCAGGGGCGGAGGTGAGAGCTGAGCTGCAGCGGGAATGTGCATTTTCGTCAGCTCCTCTCCCCGCTCCCAAATCTCGCATGACGCCCGCGTGTAGGTCACTGGCTGCTGCGGCGACGCGGCGTGTGGGCTCACCATCTGCGGCTGCTTCTGGAGCTCCGGGAACGCCGTGCGCTGCCCCCTCCGCCCGCCCAGCGCCCGGCCCGCAGCTGCCAGAGCCCCGGGAGGAGGGTRCGGGCCGGGGAGGGGTCTGCCCTGTGCTGGGGAGGGAGGGGGACACCAAGTTTTTGGCAGGAGCAGCAGCCTCGGCGCGCCTGCGCCAGCCGGCGTTCCTGCCAGTCAGCGGGGGGTGATGGAAAAGAGAACTTGTCAAAATAGCGAGATATCTTTTTTCAGGAGATTGCAAGTTTGGCTGATGGAGATAATAGTGTTGATGCGCTGCAGGGAGGGTTCGGAGAGGCATCGACTCCCCTCATGGCAGCTGTTTCAGGAGAGAAGGATGATACCAAAATCAGCATGAAATTGGATAAAAACTGGCTGCCTGATGGGCTGCCGTGTCAGACTGCAGGCAGGGAACGGCAAAGCATCACCAATCACCTGGAATAAGCGGTGCAAGAGCAAGTCTGTGAGAGAAGGAGACCACGCCTGGCCCCCTCCAGCTGTCACAGCCCATGCCCCYCACATGTGTCGGCTCCATGCAGGGAAGGGTGCTCAGGATCTTACCCTGGACCTGATCCCTGCTGCAGGCGTGATCCTGCTCTCCACTTCCAGCCAAGCAGGAAACCTCCCAGTGCAGACAGCACCTCCCAAGGCCACYTGCTGACGTCTGTCCTTCACGTCCACTGACAGTTGTCCATCCCCGCCCCTGGACATTCACATCAGCTCATTGATGGCTGCCCATCACAYTCCTGATCATCAGTCAGGTGCTGTGCAGGATGTTGATGTCTGTCCACCGTGTTCCTACATCAGGCCTGGTCAYTGACACTGCCTTTCACTCCCTGCATTCATGCAGCTGTCCTCTGGTGATCCCAAACCCTGACAGCTCAGCCATCGTTCCCCACAGCCTCCCCTCCCTGCAGCTCAAGCCAGAGGGTGGAGGGGAGCTGTAACCCTATGCCATCTACCCCAAAGGTTTAAACCTGCATCCCTTRGGGCCCTGGGTCCTGGAGAATCCCAGGCTGCTCTGATACCTTCACTCTCCCACTCCTGCCCTCACCAATGTTCCCCCACAGGTGTGTGTGTGAGGCTGCAGTCCCACTGCCATTGCAAACTGGTGATGGGCCGGTGACTGGTCCATGGCTCCTGCACCCATCCTAACATGGTTTTCGGGATGGTCATGGGGATGGCAGGTCCTGGCTGTCCCCGTGCCCTCAGTAGCCAGTGTGCCCTGAGCAGGAGCTGCCAGATGGTGCCCAACATGGGTGCAGCCCCTCCTTTGGCCCCTATCAGCAGCCACRCAGTAGCAAACCCAAAGTAGGTTAAGACTCTGCGGATGCTGGCTGTGTGCCTCGAGGCTGTGGCACTGTGCTTTTGTGCTCTGAGTTTTYCCCTCCCATCCCAGAGTACAGAGCTTTGCTGGGCATAGTTACAGAGCTGCCCTGTTTATGCTGCTGAAGTGCAAGGGCTGGTTTTGCCCCCTCCATAACAGCTTTTGTGGTACTCAAAAATCCCCCAACACAAAAGCTTGGAGAAGAACTTTTCTMTCTGTCTTCAGCCACCCAGGAGTGGAAGTTTGCAATCCAGGTGTGTCTGGATTCACATCTGCAGTGTGGCCAGGGCACCACTTTGTGTGGATAGGTGGCACCTCTCCTTTGCCCAGCTGCAAATTTGGTCTGAGGTCCCATTCCAGCCTGATCCAGGCTTCTCTCCCAAAGCATGAGCACATTTTACTTCCCAGGGTGGTTTTAACTCCAGCCCCTGGCCTAGTACAGAGTTGAGTTCCTTCTCATCCTTGTCTGKGTCTGCTGCATTCCTACCTCACATCCCCACATTGCTCAGCTGAGCCATAGCAGTCCCAGGTCTGCTGGACTTGCATCTCTGAGCAGGCAGTGCATCCCATCAGCTTCTCCAGCTGCTGGAAGGAGAAGATCCAGCCTACATCCAGGCCATCCATCCTCTCACTGGTCCGCTTCCAGAGCTGCATGCTATTCTCTGCTGCCTGCTATAGTCCTGCAGGCACAGCTTGKCCATTCCCATGTGACCAGGCTCTGAGAAGCCTTGGAAAGAGCATGGGGTGCTCAGTACCATGTTACCTTGGGCAGTCATTTCCCCACATTGCTCCTTCATGAGCTGCTTTCATCCCCTTGACAGGGGAAAAAAGCTGATGCAGACTACTGTTAGGGCCTGGAGAATGAGTACAGCGAAAGGATGTGCTCTGACAGTGCCAAAAAATGCCCCACGAGGACCTGGGGGGAAGGTTCAGGGGTGAGGGAAGCAGGGACACAAAGCAGCACCTGGGAGGAAGCCAGCTCCCCATCTTTCCCAGAGGACRTACTCCAGGACTGGGATCTGCAGGAAGATGTTTCCAAGAGTAACAGCTTGCACTTATCCTGGGATGCCCTTCCTTGGAGTGGCAGCTCCCTGCAGAGCAGCTGGGGCAGGGAGTCGTGGGCCTTTCCATCGGGTTCCTGAGGCTGGCAGCTCGCCAAGCCTGGCCCTGATGAGACAAGGGTGCTCCCGCTGGACAGATAATAGCTGAGCAATTTAGAGC